CCGCTCCTTCAGCAGGTTCTTGGTCCTTCTCCTCCTGTAGAGTGTCCACCGCCTATGCAGTCACAGTCACAGTTACCGCCGGCCTCCCCACTCCCTGGTCCGTCTCCTTACACTGGTCCTACTAGAGGTCTTGCTGAGCGTCGTGAGCCTGCGTCTCGTCCCGCGTCGACTGTTCGTGCTGCTTGCGCTAGTGGTCACGGTTCGCATCAGCGTCCTCCTCCTGTCCGTGGCACGCACCGGATGTCTCTGCGTCCGTCCACTGCTCCTCTGCGTGTCCCTTTGCCTTCTCCTCCTGAGTCCTCTCTTCCTGCGCTTGCCGACCCGGAGTCAGACTCTCTTCGTGCTGCCAGTCCTACTATCACGCGTCTCCTTGCTACTATCGTCACTCACCCCTCTTTTGCGTCCACTCCTGCGTTCGCTCTTGTTGCAGAGCTCGTCGACTTTGCTGCTCGTTGTCGTCTAGACTACGCTGCTAGTCTTGTTGCTGAGCCTACGTCTGTCTGTCCTCTGTTCGTCGGGGGTGGGTGTGCTCTTGGCACGGACGTCCTTGAGGACAGGCAGGAGGAGTTCCAGTGTCTGGCTGCTGCTTCACCTCATCTCGTGTCCGTACTGCTTACCCCTAAGGGAGACCCATATGCACTTGACCTCCCGACTCCGCGCTCTTACGCGGAGGCCGTAGAGGGTCCCTACTCCTCTTAGTGGCAGGCAGCTACGGATGCAGAGATGGCTTCCTGGAAGTCCACAGGCACCTACGTTGACGCGGTTCCCCCACCCGGGGCGAACATCGTCAGTGGCATGTGGATCTTCAGGGTGAAGCGGCCGCCGGGCTCTCAACCTGTCTTCAAGGCGCGGTACGTCGCTTGTGGTTTCAGTCAGCGGCAGGGAGTTGACTACTTTCAGACATTCTCTCCCACCCCAAAGATGATCACTCTTCGAGTGCTGCTGCACATAGCCGCTCAGAAAGACTACGAGCTTCACTCTCTTGACTTCAGCACAGCTTTCTTGCACGGTAGCCTGCACGAGGAGATCTGGCTGCGCCGTCCACCTACCACCACCGGGACTTTCCCTCCTGGCACCCAGTGGAGCCTCCAACGGCCAGTCTACGGTCTCCGCCAAGCACCGCGCGAGTGGCACGACACACTGAGGACTACGCTTGCGGCTCTTGGGTTTGCTCCCTCTACTGCTGACCCGTCGCTGTTTCTGCGCACCGACACTTCTCTGCCGCCATTCTACATCCTCGTGTACGTCGACGACTTGGTCTTTGCCACTGCTAACACTGCTGGACTCGCCCACGTGAAGTCCGAGTCGCAGAAGAGACACACGTGCACAGACCTGGGTGAACTGCGCAGCTACCTTGGCTTGCAGATCACCCGGGACAGAGCACGCCGCACCATTACCCTTACTCAGTCACACATGGTGCAGCAGGTCCTTCAGCGCTTCGGCTTCACGTACTCCTCGCCTCAGGCCACTCCTCTGTCTACTCGCCACTCGCTCTCAGCTCTACCTTCGGATGAGTTCATAGAGTTGAGTGGCCCGTACCCAGAGCTTGTTGGCTGCCTCATGTACCTGATGACCTGCACACGACCTGACCTTGCATACCCTCTTAGCATTCTTGCACGCTATGTTGCTCCTGGGAGACATAGACCAGAGCACATGGCTGCAGCGAAGAGGGTGTTGCACTTCTTGTGCAGTACGTCGGGCATGGGGCTAGTGCTTGGAGGGCGACGTTGAGTGGTCCTCACTGGGCACGCAAACGCTTCTTGGGCTGACGACCAGGCTACGGAGCGGTCGTCACAGGGTTACACCTTCAGCCTTGGTTCCGGCTCTGTGTCGTGGCGGGCCATTCGCTCGTCTTCTGTTCTCGACTCCAGTTGTGAGGCTTAGATATACGCCGGGGCCATGGCTGCATAGGAGCTTCGCTGGCTCACCTACGTGCTGACCGACCTTGGAGAGCCGCCTCGTTCTCCTCCAATCCTTTACATAGACATCAAGGCCATGCTGGCCTTGTGTCGAGAGCAGAGACTGGAGTACAGAAGAAAGCACATTGCTCTTCGCTACTTCCTTGCTCGTGAGCTACAGCAGCGTGGTCAGTTGCGGCTTGCGTACGTGGCCTCTGAGGCCAACAGTGCTGATGTTTTCACCAAGGCACTTCCGCCTTGTGATCATCTGCGCTTCTGCACTTAGCTGGGTCTTGTCCGTGTCTTGCCTCACTTGCTCACCCCTTGACCTTGCTTGTAGTCTTACATATATATACATATATACCTGCTCTTGCTTGTTTAGCCTTATATATATATATGTCTACTCCTGCATGTGAACTGGCCTTGTGGCCTTGACCTTGTGCTCGGAGTGTGTGGTGAATTTGTGATCCACCCTGAGCTTGCTTTGCTTTGCTTTGCTTGACTGGTCTTGTGACCCCTTGTACTCCCCCACTTTGCCTATGGGGGTGTGTCAGATATATATGAGATAGCTATTGTAGGTTATAGTGGGGTAGCACATATGGGGTACATCTTTCTAGGGTTTGTATTTGTACCCAACTTTCACTTAGTCATTCTCATTCTCGTTTCAATTTCCTTAGTGAGCGGAGGTACTATAGTGATTTATGGTCTGTCCGTATTGTCACGTCTGCGCCGATCAAGGAACAGGGCCACACTTTGAATGTGTGCACGAGCTGGAGCGTTTCGCAGTGGTGTATCGGGTAATTTTTCTCGGGTGGATGCAATTTGTGGGACTTGTGGGCCCTTCCTCTTGCGTCGGTGGCTCGTAGGCGCGTGGCGACGTCATGATGACTCGCCACCAGTCCATGCCGGGGCCCCTCAGCAGCGAGACGGCATATCAGTTCTTCCCTGCGTCCGACTTGACGTAGTTCGCGTTGAAAAAGACATTCATCGTGAAGACCCACGAGTGAACCGTCGGACCTCCACTCTGGCTTGGTCGAAACAGGGCGGGCGCTGTGGCTTGAGTGGCATTGGTGCCATGATGGCATGGTCGCCACTTGTCGCCGCAAACTCCACGTGCCGACGGGCTTCGCGAGGCTCCCGCGGGCTTGACGCGGTCCTTTTCCTCTCCATGCCAGGCATCGATTGGGTGGCGCCATCAGTGGCTGCGCCTGAGCGCTGTCCCACGCTTTCGTTTTGTGTCGGGGTACCTGATGAAATGACAATCGGCTCCTCCGATTGTGCTGGTGCATTTTCAAATGCGTGTGGTGGCGCTGGAGCATTCACTGTGAATTGCTAACGAGCGAAGTCGCGTTCCGCCGTGAATGTTGCAATTTCAAGCGCCGAGTCTTCGATTTGGCACACGAGACGGTCGAGTTGCTTCTGCGTTAGTGTCGTGATGGTGAATTTGAACATGGCGGAGGTGTCGAGCAAGCTGATCGAGAGCCTCTGTCATGGGTGTGCGTGCTTACGAGAGAGCACTACGAGCGGCAGTGCTGGTTTCGCTGAGAGACGTCTACACCCCCCCAAAAAAAATCAGATAGTGGGGAAGCAAAGGTGTGGGTGCGGTCCGAGAAGAGATCGTAGGCTCCGTATACCAAGTGTTACGAGTTCAATTGAGTGAGTGAGCGAGAGTTGCACAATTGAAGCAAGAGTACAATAAGTGAAGGCATGGGCGAAAAATATATAGTGAAACTTCAGTGGTAACGGTAATGTGTGGAAAATGGGCTGTGCGGCGGGCCTAGTGCCAAGGTTGGGAAATGTCGAGGTAGAGATCCGGAGGTCGGGTTACGAACCAAACTGTGAGGTTGGGTCACGTCGTGAACAGTGGCGGGAACAGTGTCGAGGCGAGTGTCGCGAGTGGTAACGGATTACTGTTGGGTGCTGTTGGCGGGAACAGTGGTGTACGCGCTGAGCAGGGAGGCGAAGTAAGGATTTTTTTTTCCTTACATCATACAAAAACCTACTTGTCTGTTTTCATATTATATTCCAAACGATTCTTTCCTTGTCAAGCAGAATTGGCTTTCACCGTTTTAACATCGCACTAATTAATAAGGAGGTGCTTGTTGAGTCAACGCCAATAGCGGGCTGGCATTTCTGTCGCTTTCCCGATTCCAGACAAATTCTGTGGTTGCCTCAGGCTAGCAACGATTGCGCCAGGTTTCTGGCTCAAGATATCAGGGCGCTTTACCCTGTCCTCCTTGAACTTCAGGGTGAAGTCTCGGACCTAACCTGCTATGACTGGGTTTGGCTGTGCGTCCACCCAAACCGGCAGGGCTGAAACAACGCCCTGCAAAAGAGTTTTACGCTTGTTCGCAACATCACCGTGTCTCAGCTCGTTACGGCAGGCACCCTGCCAGTTTTTTCCTTGGTGAGAATTTCGTTCATTCGTGGCTTTCCTCTAAGTCGAAACGTCTGCACAGTGTCGTTGGTGACTGAATTTACAGAATTGGTGGGTACCTAGAAGACCCACCGTCGAACTTAACCAGCACAATTCACAACTCCCCACCTCACACCACAAGAACAACAGGTCCACGCAGTTAGGCATGTTGACGGGTTGTGGCGATGACCTCTGTTGATTGAGGAACTTTTCATTCGAATCGTGCCAGACCCAGTTCGAGCACATGATCTGGCTCCTGGGGATAACAATGGTAGGATCGACAGCGGGACCCAGATTTTTTTAGCTAGGCAGTTTTTTTTTCGGATTTCCACATTGCTAGATCCGAACTCGGAAAACAATCACACAGCCATTTCTTGGGTATGACTGCCAAGGCACACTGCAGCGGCAGGGTATAGTGGGTCCCAACTCGGATCAGGCAGCGTACCCTTAAACGAATCGAGAACGCTTTGCTGTGCTGAGGCGACAGCTAGCTGCGTGGAAATTAGGTTTAGTTAGACTGTTCCGTACCGCTACATGAAGTGTGAATTCAGCTAGTAGCGACGCTCGAGGCGTGCCATCATTAGGGTTTCGATCTCTTTCATCTCATTGCGTTCATTCCCTCTTCTCGTCCGTAACCTTCGTGTAGCCCTCCTTTCGCGCGTGTATCCTTCGAACCTACCGCTCGCATGTGTCGCCCACACGTCGCACAGTGTCGCCGGGAGCGCGAGCCACATCGCACCGCGAGGGTATCTTGCGTGCTGCTCCTGCTGGCGCTCGTTTCAGCCTGTCCGCAGAATGCGGCGTCTATCGCGGCCAGCATGCCACCTGGCGCCGCCACCCCAATGGAGCAGCAAGCAGAGCGTGAGATTCCCTCCATTTTCGCTAACGAGCGCTCTCCGCACCCTCCCCGCTCTTCCCGCTATCCCGCCCTCCTCGCCCTCTCCTCTATCCTCGCTCTCCCCGCTACCCCCTCCGTCCCTGTTATCCCCGTTCTTCCTCTTCCTTGCTCTCTTCTCTCTTCGAATCCTCCTCTCATCCCCCCACGGCCTTCCCCCATACTTCCCGCGCCCCCCGCCCCCCCTTCGTTCCCCCGTCCCCAGTTCCTTCCCCCCTCTTTCTGGTGAGCGCGCACAGACGCAGCGCCACTGGCGTTCTGGGAGGCGATGGGGCTGTGGCGAGCGGGGTTTGCGCCGCACCATCCTCCTCCCCCACTGCCTAACCTCCCCTACCCTTCTCCTCCTCACACACAGGCGATGCGCTGTTAGCGTTCTGGGAGGCGATGGGGCGCAGCGAGGGGCTGAGGGCGAGAGGGTGGGCGCCTATCCTTCTCCTCCCTTCCCTTACACCGCCTGTCCCTGCACCCCCCTTCCTTCTCCCCGCCCCCGCACAGGCGCAGCGCTGCTGGCGTTTTGGGAGGCGACGAGGCAAAGTGAGGGGCTACGGGAAAGCGGGCGAGCGCCTAACCATCTCCCCACTGCCTTCCGCTACCGCCCGTCCCTGTCCAATCCCCCGTTCCTCCCCCCGATTCCCCGTTTCCCCCTGCAGACGCAGCACTGCTGGCGTTCTGGGAGGCGATGGGGCTGAGGGCGAGCGGGTGGGCCCCCCTCGGCCCTCCCCAGTGCCTTTCCCTGTATAAATCCCAACCCCCCCTTCCCCTGTATATATCCCACCCCCCCCTTCCCCTGTATATATCCCACCCCCCCCTTCCCTTGTATATATCCCACCCCCCCCTTCCCCTGTATATATCCCACCCCCCCCTTCCCCTGTGTAACGCGCAACCTAGCTAACCATCTAACTAACATCCCTAGTCAAATGTCGAAGCCCTTCTCGACAATGAGTTGAGACTACGGGAATAGTATTGGTTGGAATGGGAAGGTTGGGTTGGAGGGGAAGCTTGGCTTGACAATTCCAAACCTCAACTTTGAGGCTTGGAACTTCCCAACCCAACAAATGTGAAGATTGAATGGTTGGATTTCAAACCAATCAAATTGTGCCAGTTGTTGTTCTAATCCAACCAAACACAAAACAACCATACAACACAATTAAGTTGGGTTTTCCCAACCAAACTAAATTGCCACCTAGGCTCCAAGCCTATTAGCTCCCCAACCATGGAAGCCATGGTTGGGAAGAGCCCCAAGGGGTATGATGGAAGGGGTTGGAACTTTCAAGCTCATTCCCACTTCCCAACTCCAACTTACGAACTTGGAAATGGGATTTCTCTAAGTCATTTTTGGTTCTCCTAACAAGTTCTCCTACACAACTAAACTTATGTTATTTCAAGGACAAGCTCTACAAGAAGCTCTTATCTACTTGCTAAAGCTTCATCAACCTTCTTCAAGCTCCTTTTCTCCTCTCGAGCTTCAAGAGTATTATCAAGGCTAGTTTATCCCTTGGTGGGATTAGTTTAATCGTGGAAGCTTTGTATCTTGATTTTATATAAATTGTCAAGGAGGATTTATATTGAACATACGGTTGCCCGTTGTAATAAGGGCCGTGGTTGTTACACCCTGTATATATCCCACCCCCCCCTTCCCCTGTATATATCCCACCCCCCCCTTCCCCTGTATATATCCCACCCCCCCCTTCCCCTGTATATATCCCACCCCTTCCTTCCCCTGTATATATCCCACCCCCTCCTTCCCCTGTATATATCCCACCCCCCCCTTCCCCTGTATATATCCCTCCCACCCCATCCCCCTTTCAGGAGCGGCGCTGCTGGCGTTCTGGGAGGCGATGGGGCGCAGCAAGGGGCTGCGGGCGAGCGGGTGGGGCAACACGTCGCTCCCGTGTGACCCGCGCAGGCCGCCGTGGGGGGGCGTGCACTGCAGCCCCACAGGCCACGTGGACGGCATGTGAGTGACATGTATAGCATGCATGGCATTGAGTGACATGCATAGCATGCATGGCATGTGAGTGACATGTATAGCATCCATGGCATGTGAGTGACATGTATAGCATGTATGGCATGTGAGTGACATGTATAGCATGCATGGCATGTGAGTGACATGTATAGCATCCATGGCATGTGAGTGACATGTATAGCATCCATGGCATGTGAGTGACATGTATAGCATCCATGGCATGTGAGTGACATGTATAGCATCCATGGCATGGCTTGGGGGGGCGTGCACTGCAGCCCCACAGGGCACGTGGACGGCATGTGAGTGGCGACGACGTGCCACCCCATGCCATCCCATGGCACCCCATGGCAACCCACGCCACCCCATGCCACCCCATTCCGCGCCGTGCCATGCATGTCATGTCATACTTCTTCCCACTGTCACCCCCTCCGCCACGCCACCCCACACCACCCCACGCCACGCCACGCCATACCATGCCATGCCACCACCACACGCCAATTTCCATTCTCCATGCATCCTGTTGCATGCAGCGAGCTGCCATGCAAGGGAGCGGAGTCACCCCAGGGGCAGCAGCTACATGGGAGGGGACAGGTCCAGTGGGCGAGCATGCTTGTCACTCTTTCTCTCCTTTCTGCATGCATACTCTTCTCTCTTCCCTTCCCACCACCACCCCCCCCACGCCCTTCCCTTCCCACCACCACCCCCCCCACGCCCTTCCCTTCGCACCAGCAGTGAGTTGCCGTTGAAGGGGCCGGAGTCACCTCAGAGGAAGCAGCTGCAGGGGCAGGTGCCTTGAGTGGGCATGCTTGTCATTCGTCTTTTTCTGTCCTCGTTCCAACTCTTCTCTTCCCACCACCAGCGAGCTGCCATACAAGGGACCGGAGTCACCGCAGGGGAAGGAGCTGCAGGGGCAGGTGCCGTGGGCGGGCATGACAGCCCTCTCACGCCTCACAATGCTCGACCTCAGCTTCAACCAGGCCTCGGGACCTCCTGTCACCCCTGCTGTTGCCGCCTTCACTGCCCTGCAAACCCTGTGAGTCTTGAATGTGAGAATCCCATAGTTGGGATGAGAGGTGAACTCAAGAGTTGATTTGATTAGAAGGATGGTGGGTACATATAAGCGATGAGAAGTGGGAGACCTAGGTTGGGCACCCGCAACATTATTGGTTAGCCAATGGGAGTAGCCACCAATAATGTTTTGGAGGTGGCTGCCAATTATTGGGGGGCCTGGTTCCCCCCGCCAATTGTGGCAGAGTGGGGTTGGGACGCGCCCAACCAAAAATGGTTGGGGCGCTTTGGCCCAAAGTGTACACCCATGTTTAGGTGTTACCCTTGCACATTTACAACCCAACTGATGCTATAATCTAACATTGAAACGGCTCAAGACTCGGACATTGACCCCAGCAGCGCCTCTGTGTTCTAGCTCAAGCCCTCTTTTCTCTCCTGCTCTCACCTCCCTGCAAAACATCTATTGTGCAACCAGCTACCACACCCCGTCCCTTCTGCTCGTCGTAGTACCCCATCCCCCTTTCTCCATCGCCTCACATCCATCTCCTGTAAAATAGGCTCTCGGTTTCCGTGTAACGCCTGTGGGCTAAGTGTTAATGGGCATTCGCTGCGCCAATAACACCCTCGTTTTGACCCAGTGGGTAGCGAGGTGTTATACTGGACTCAGAGCCTGGGGTTCAAATCCTGGCTGATCCCACATTTACCGCCTGTGGCGAGAACTTGAATGTAGTTACAAGATTGGACCCAGCAAACGATCCTCCGCTGGCCTGACCTCAGCAGCGAAGTTGCTGCTTGGAGCACAGCGAACAGGTCCCTGCGGGGGCCGACTCCCTGAAGTTCGTCAACGAGGACGTTGACACCAGGGGGGGACGAGTGTAACGCCTGAGGGCTAAGTGTTAATGGGCATTCCGCTGCGCCAAATAACACCCTCGTTTTGACCCAGTGGGTAGCGAGGTGTTATATTCCGTCCCTGCTGTTCTCGCCTCCCTGCACTCTTCTCCCCCTCCCAACCCCCATGCTTCTCCAATTCCTCCTCTCCCATTCCTCTACTCCACTTTCTCGATCCCAACTCCCCGTTCCCCATTCCCCCATCGCCCCCCACAGCCAGCTGCAGTACAACAAGCTCACCGGCCCCGTCCCTGCTGTAATCGGCTCCCTGCCCGCGCTGCAGATTCTGTGAGTCCCAATCAAATGCCCCCCTGCGCATGTGCGCATGCACTGTGAACCCCTTAAACCCGCGCTGCAGATACTGTGAGTCTTAGTGGAACACCCCTTCCGACATGTGCCTAGGCACTGTGAACCCCCTAAGTCAGCGCTGCAGATACTGTGAGTCCCCATGGAATGAACCCCTGGACATGTGTATAAGCTCTATGAACCCCCTAAACCCTCGCTGCAGATACTATGAGTCTATGTTGCGCCTGACGCGTCAGGCGTTTTTTACGCTGGCATCTGGACGGGGCGTCCAGACGCTTGACGCCCGGTGTCCTCTGCCCTGGACGCCCGCTTGACGCTGGTCCGGGCAGGGCAAAACTTTTCCCAGGCAGGGGTAAAAAAAATCTGCCTAGTAAGGATATGCAGGGGTTAGAATGCAAGAAATTCACTTTTGTCACCTTAAGTTATAAATACTCCATACTTGCATTCTCCTTCCACACCACCTGCAGAAGGTGTGGAGCCACTACCAGATTGACCAGCGGAACTAGGAGTTGACATGATAACTTAATTGCCTTCACCTAATTTTAGCTAAGAAGGCTTAGTAACGTGACTGGCGGATTCTAGTGTAGGGTATGCTTGGCAATGTCGAGAGAAACAGATCTGTGAAGTGTCGACCTAAATGTGGTTCTCTAGTTTAGTTGGGGGTCGTCCTGGTTGGGAGTAGTAGATTGGGATGGGTAGAAATGTGTGGGGGGGAATAAATGTGGGTTGCGTTTTTCTAGGTCAAAGACGCAACCCCCGCTTGCCAATTTCATTGCAATTCTGGTCGCGATGATATCGCGCGTCAATTGCGAGCGGGATTTTTTTTTTTCGGGCTGCCCGAAAATTGTTTTCCCGAACGTCCAGCGTCAAACTGATTTGACGCGTCCAGCGTCCGGACGCTGGACGCTGCCCTTTCAAGGCGTCAGGCGCAACATAGCTATGAGTCTTAGTTAGGAGCCCCCTCCCACATACTTAGGCACTACTCTGTGAACCCTCGACACCTCGCTGCAGATTCTGTGAGTCCCAACTCAGTCCCCCTGCATGTGTAGATTCTGTGAGTCATCCCGGAAGACAGCCGTGTGATGTGATGCACTGTGGTGTGATGTGATGCACTGTGGTGTGATGTGATGCACCGTGGTGTGATGTGATGCACTACAGTGTGATGTGATGCACTACAGTGTGATGTGATGCACTGTGGTGTGATGTGATGCACTGTGGTGTGATGTGATGCACTACAGTGTGATGTGATGCACTACAGTGTGATGTGATGCACTACAGTGTGATGTGATGCACTACAGTGTGATGTGATGCACTACAGTGTGATGTGATGCACTACAGTGTGATGTGATGCACTACAGTGTGATGTGATGCACTACAGTGTGATGTGATGCACTACAGTGTGATGTGATGCACTACAGTGTGATGTGATGCACTACAGTGTGATGTGATGCACTACAGTGTGATGTGATGCACTACAGTGTGATGTGATGCACTACAGTGTGATGTGATGCACTACAGTGTGATGTGATGCACTACAGTGTGATGTGATGCACTACAGTGTGATGTGATGCACTACAGTGTGATGTGATGCACTACAGTGTGATGTGATGCACTGCGGTGTGATGTGGTGCACTGTGGTGTGATGTGATGCAGTGTGGTGCCAGCCAACCTCCCTCCTGCCCAACCTCCCTCATCCCCAATTTCCCTCCTGCCCGCCCGCCCCTGTGCGCCCACCCCTGTGTGTGTCCCCGCACCTGTCCCCATCCCTGCAGCGAGCTGGGCTACAATCAACTCTCAGGCCCGCTGCCTTCCACCCTCGGCCTGCTGCCCTCTCTGCAAGCACTGTACGTGCTGCCACACACCTGCCACTGCAAGCACTGTATGTCCTCTCTGCCAGCTTCCAGGCAACTTCCAGGCAATTCCCAGGCAGTTCCCAGGCTGCTACCAGGCAGCTGTGTCAGGCACCTGTGAGCAGCTCACCACACATTTTGTTGTCTTGACGTTTTCACGTGCACAGTTACGAATGAAAGGAAATGTAATCTGCACATCCCTCCGCCTCTCTCCCTCTGTCCCTTTCCCCTTCTCATCACCTCCACCTTCTCATCACCTCCACCTTCTCATCACCTCCACCTTCTCATCACCTCCACCTTCCTATCACCTCCACAGGACCTCGACTTACCCATATGGTTGACACCCGCCTCTTTCTCGCACCTTTCCTCCCCCTCTTCTCCCCTTTCAACCTTATCCCATTTGCCCACCCCTCCTTCCCACCTATCATCCCACCCACCCACCCATCCTTCCCTTCGCTCTCCAGCCGCATCCCATCCAGCAACATCACAGGTTCCCCACCGGCCTCTCTCCCGCACCTCTTCTAGCCTCTTCCCCCAATTCAACCTTCTCCCACTCCCCCATCCCTCTCCTTCCACCCCCTCATCCCTTCCTTCCCCTCCTCATTCCTTACAGCCGCATCTCCTTCAGCAACATCACGGGGTCCCTGCCCGCCTCTCTCCTGCGCGCCTTTTCTTGCCTCTCTTCCCCATTCAACTCCCACTCCCCCATCCCTCTCTCCTCACCTCCTTATCTCTGCCCCCTCCTCCCTTCCCTCCTCCCCATCCCTTACAGCCGCATCCCATTCAGCAACATCACGGGGTCCCTGCCGGCCTCGCTCTCGCGCCTCTCAGCGCTGAGCTCACTGCGCCTCACACAGAACCTTCTCGCTGGCCCCCTCCCCGCCAACCTCTCAGCACTCACCGCACTAACTGAGCTGTGAGTGATCTTGCACTGCCAGCACTGCCAGCACTGCCAGCACTGCCAGCACTGCCAGCACTACCTGTCTCTCTCGCGCCTCTCCTTGCAGAGCTCGTTGCGACTCACACAGAACCTTCTCGCTGGCCCCCTCCCCCGCCAACCTCTCAGCACTCACCGCACTTACCGAACTGTGAGTGGCCTTGGTGCGGCTCACATATAGCCTTCTCTTTGGCCCCTTCCAACTTCTCAGCACTCACCGCACTAACTAATCTGTGAGTGCTTGCCTCTCTCTTGCGCCTATCCTTGCTGCTGCTCACGGCGAATATTCTCTTTGGCCCCCCTCCCCGCCAATATCCCACCACTCACCGCACTCACTGAGTTGTGAGTGCTCTCACCAGCACTGCCAGCACTGCCAGCAGCACTGTAGGAACTCTTAGTCCTGTCAATCTCTATTGTCCTGTCCACCCCTCTCGCCTTCCCCCACATCTCTCGCCTCCCCCCACTTCTCTCGCATCCCTCCACCCCTCTCGCCTTCCTTCATTATACAGCGTGTTCTCTCCGGTGTCCTTCTGAAGGCCGCGCCTTCTAAGGCTCTCGCGCTCTCTCTCCCTCCTCTGGCAGGAATTTGGCGAAGAATCAGTTGAACGGCTCTTTGCCTGCCTCGTGGGGTGCACTCACCTCACTTGCTGACCTGTGAGTGCCGTTGTGCGCGCGCGTGCGGGCGCGTGTGGATGTGTGTGTGTGTGTGTGTGTGTGTGTGTGTGTGTGCGCTTGTGAGTGTGTGATTGTATGTGTGTGTGAGTGTGGGAGTGTATGTGTGTGTGGGTGGGTGTGTGGGGATGGGTATGGGTAGTGTGTGTGTGTCCCACCTCCCCCCACATGCCCATGTCCTAACACCCCATGACGATGAGCAAGGGGCGAACACGATCGTGTTCGTGTTCGTCCCTGCATGAACAGAGCCGTTTGCCGAACTGATCAGTGTTCAGTTCGGCGAACACTTTTAGCAAAAGCAGATGTTCGGTGTTCGCCTGTGAAGGCGTGTTCGGTGCCCTTGTCCCACCTCCCCCCACCCCACATGCCCTTGTCCCACCTCCCCCCACATGCCACATCCCAACACCCCAACGACCCTACCCACGTCTTCACAACTCCTCATCCCTCGTCCCCCCCCTGTCCCCTTCCCCAGCTCTCACCTTGAGCGGCAAATATCCCTTGCTTCCCCATGCCTACCCCCCCTGCCATCCCTGTCCATCCCCATCCCACCCTGCTCCCCCCTGCCCTCCCATGCTCCGCCCTGCTTCCTCATGCCCCCCTGTGCCACTGCTGCTGACCCCCATGCCCCCCCGCGCTCCCCCCCTGCCGCACCATCTTTCCTCCCTTGCCCCTCCCCCTTTTTCCCACCACCAGCAAGGTGTCAGTGAATGCTCTCAGCGCCACACTGCCAGCCTCGTGGAAAATTCTTGTCTCTCAGGCAGCTGGAGGAGCTTCCCTCCCTACCCCCTCCTTGGTCCCCCTCTCCTTTCCCCCTGCCCACCCTTGCCTCCCCTGCCTTGGTGTCAGTGAACCATCTCAGCGGCACGCTGCCAGCTTCATGGGGAAAGCTCTCGTCGCTCCAGCACCTGGACCTTCCCTAGCCCCCTTTTCCAATCTGCCCAGCCCCCTCCCCACCCCCCTTTGCCTTCCTCCCTGCCCTGCGTCCTCTGCCCACCCCCCACCCACAAGCACGGTGTTGTCAAATAATCTCAGTGGCACGCTCCTAGCCTCATGGGGCAAACTCCTGTCGCCCCAGCACCTGGTGCTTCCTCCGCCCCTTTGACCTCCATCTCCGACCCGCCCCCTTCCCCACGCTACACCCTCCCTGCCCCTCACCCCCCTCTCCCCCACCAGCGAGGTGTCGGCAAATGCTCTCAGCTCAGCGGCACGCTGCCAGCCTCATGGAGCAAACCCGCGTCGCTCAGGCAGCTGGGGCTTCTCTACCCCATCCCCCTTCCCTGACCCCTGTGCGCCCCCTGCCCCCTCCTGCCCCCTTCCCTGCCCCCTCGTGCCCACACATCAGCAAGGTGTCGGTGAATTCTCTCAGCGGCTCGCTGCCAGCCTCGTGGAGCAAGCTCTCGGCGCTCAGGCAGCTGGCGGCTTCCAGCAACAACATCACAGGGCCCTTCCCCGCCTTCCTGCTCTCGCTACCGAGTATTGAGGAGATGTGAGTGGCTGGAGGGACCAGGGGAGAGGAGTGTGAGTGGTTTAGAGCTCACCTCTTGTCGCTCAGGCAGCTGGCAGCCACCAGCAACAACATCACAGTGCCCTTCCCCTCCTTCCTGCTCTCACTGCCCAACATAGAGGAGATGTAGGTGGTTGCAGCGAATGGGGGAAGGGGGGTGTTTGGGCTGCTGCTGCTGCCGTTGCCGCTGCCGCCCCCGCTGCCACTGCTGCTGCTGCCGCTGCTGCTGCTGCTGCTGCTGCCGCCGCCGCCGCCGCTGCTGCTGCTGCTGCTGCCGTTGCCGCTGCCGCCCCCACTGCCACTGCTGCTGCTGCTGCTGCTGCTGCTGCCGTCGCCGCCGCCGCCGCCGCCGCCACCGCTGCGACGATACTCGTTGCTACTGCAGGGGGGAATCTTACCGCTATTCCACACATGCCACCCTTCTGTCGTCCCTCACCATACCTCTGCCTGCATTTCTTCCTGCCTGCCTATGTGCTTCTCCCCCTGCATGCCTGTCTCCCTGCATGCCTGTCTCTCTGCATGCCTGCCTGCCCGCCTGCCTGTCGTCCCGTCTGCCTGTGCATTGCCGCAGCACCCTGAACAGCAACAGCATGTATGGTCCAGTGCCGCCCAACATCACCATCTCTCCCAGCGTCACGACCCTGTGAGTGAGCTTAGCAGCGTCACGACCCTGTGAGTGAGCTTAGCAGCGTCACAAGCCTGTGAGTGACCCCACCGTGACAACCATGCCATGCCATGCATGCCATACCGTGCCATGCCACGCTAACCACACACCCTGGTATGATCTCATCTCCCCAATGGATACCTCCCCATACACCTTTACGTACTGATTACCCAAATGGATACCTTCCCATACCCCCCATACACCTGTATTGATATCGCCCAATGGATACCTCCCCTCCCCATACACCTGTCGTGTCGTGTATTGATCGTAGGGACATCGGGCTCAACTACTTCAACGGCTCCGTCCCGCCTGCTCTGGACCAGCCAGGCTTCATGTGAGTCACCTGGGCATGTCACATGGGCATGTCACATGGGCATGTCACATGGGCATGTCACCTGGGCATGTCACATGGGCATGTCACATGGGCATGTCACCTGGGCATGTCACATGGGCATGTCACATGGGCATGTCACGTGGGCATGTCACATGGGCATGTCACCTGGGCATGTCACCTGGGCATGTCACATGGGCATGTCACCTGGGCATGTCAAATGAGCATTGATATCTCCCCAGGGACTTCGGCTGAACTATTCCAATTTTCAACGGCTCTGTGCCGCCCGCTCTGGACCAGCCCGGCTTCTTGTGAGTCCATGCAGGCAGCCGGGTGGTCACGCAATCAGGCAAGAGCAACAAGGTTATCAGGCAATCAGGTAGTTGGTAACCAGGTAACCAGATTACTGATGGTAGGGATGGTTAGGTAAGCTGGTAGCGGGAAAGGTGTCGATGGACCGTACCATAGGCCTCGTGTTTTGATTGTTTGAGTTGAGTGTTTGAGTGTATGAGTTGAGTGTTTGAGTGTATGAGTTAGGCTGTGGTCAGTTCGTATGTCTTCGGTGCGTTCTCTGCGGTTTTATTTGGTTGGTTGTGTCTCGGTGCGAAATGGTAAACCTCGAAACCGCTTTCCACCTTGTGGAACCGTCCTGAGCCAGGGAGCATGTGCTGTGAACGTGTGACGTGACTTGACCACGCCCACACCACGCCTTGTGCTCAGCCTTGTGTGGCAGTCTCTTCTGTTGCCCTGATGTCACCCCAAGCAAGTGTCATGTTAGAGCTATCACGCCTTCTTCTGAGCTGCCGTCCATCCTGCTGCTGTCTTCATGTCACTGCTCTAGCTCCCCTCTCCTGGCATAAAATGCCTTCCCTAATTCGTTCCCACTTCCCTCCCTGGGCCAACCTTGTGCGCCCACATCACACCAAACCACACTCCACCTCACCGCACCACACCATGCTCCACCACACCACCACATCAGCTTCGTGGACAACTGTTTCAATGAGACGGGCAGCACCAATCAGAAGCAGCAGAGCAGCTCCACCTGCACCATTTTCTACAACCTGCTCTACCCCCGACCCCCTCCCGGTACGCCCCCTCCCGGTAAGCCCCCTCCCGGTAAGCCCCCTCCCGGTAAGCCCCCTCCCGGTAAGCCCCCTCCCGGTAAGCCCCCTCCCGGTACGCCCCCTCCCGGTAAGCCCCCTCCCGGTAAGCCCCCTCCCGGTAAGCCCCCTCCCGGTACGCCCCCTCCCGGTAAGCCCCCTCCCGGTAAGCCCCCTCCCGGTAAGCCCCCTCCCGGTACGCCCCCTCCCGGTACGCCCCCTCCCGGTAATCCCCCTCCCAGTACGCCCCCTCCCGGTAAGCCCCCTCCTAGTACACCTCCTTATCATTCAGTTCAGAACGAGCGAAGTGACTTTGAGTCGAATCAGAGCAAGGTGACTTGTGAGTGAGTGTGTCGAATCAGAAGCAGCAGAGCAGCACCACCTTCTACAACCTTCTACCCCCCGCCCCCGCCCCCTCCCGGTACACCCCTTTCCTTCCCCGTACGCCCCAATTCCTTTTCCGTGTACCCTTTTCCCATATGCTCCCGCCCCTTTTCCATATCCTCCGTCCCCTTCCCATATCCTCCGTCCCCTTCCCATATCCTCCGTCCCCTTCCCATATGCTCCGTCCCCTTCCCATATGCTCCGTCCCCTTCCCCAATCCTCCGTCCCCTTCCCATATGCTCCGTCCCCTTCCCATATGCTCTGTCCCCTTCCCATATGCTCTGTCCCCTTCCCATATGCTCCGTCCCCTTCCCATATGCTCCGTCCCCTTCCCATATGCTCCGTCCCCTTCCCCAATCCTCCGTCCCCTTCCCAAATCCTCCGTCCCCTTCCCATATGCTCCGTCCCCTTCCCATATGCTCCATCCCCTTCCCATATGCTCCGTTCCCTTCCCATATGCTCCGTCCCCTTCCCATATTCTCCGTCCCCTTCCCATATGCTCCTGTTAGAAGTGAACCATTGACTTGATTAGGAATGATACGGGCTTACATAGTTGAAGCTAGGGGAGGGGGGGTTGGTTGGGTACCTAGTCAACATTATTGGCCCCCCCACCAATAAGTTGGGTTGGAGTATTATTGGGGGGTCCCAATAATGTTGGCCAAAGGTGGGCCAACATTATTGGGGGGGGGGCAATAATCTCCCAACCCAACCTTGGAGGCCAATAATTGGACCAAGGTTGGGTTCCAACCCCCAACTAGGGTTAACCCTAGTTGTGCACCCAAACATAGTTTGGGTGCCTATCTCTGTCCTAGGGTTTATAGGATCAGTGCAGGATACAGAAGAGTAGTATAATCTAGCAGCTCCGTCCCCTTCCCATATGCCGCTGCTGCTGCTGCTGCTGCTGCTGCTGCTGCTGCTGCTGCTGCTGCTGCTGCTGCTGCTGCTGCTGATGGGGCTAAACTCTCTTGCTTCCCTTCACGCCCTTCTGCAGCCCCACCATCCCAGGCGGTGGTAATGCTTCCGTCCTCTGGTGGCGGCGTGCTGCTGCCGGTGCTGCTTCTCCTAACCTCTTTTGCTCCCCTTCCCTCCCCTCGCCTCTGCAGGCCCACCAGTCCAGGAGGTGGTAACAGTGCCATCCTCGTCCTTCCCAATAGCAGCAGTGGTGGTGCCGGTCGTGGTGGTGGTGCTAGTGCTGCTGCTCACTGTCTTCCTCTGGCGGCGCTGGCGCTCTGAAAGGCTCGCACGCATGCTGCGCAAGGAGATTGGCAGTGAGTGGGGAGGGGAGGAGGGGGGCGGAGGGGGTTGGTAAGCTGGGAGCGAGTGGGGGGGAGTACAGTAAAGTAAGGGTATTGAGGTGGGAGGGGGGATGTGGGAGGAGAGAGGGGGGGATGTCTGGGAGAGAGAGTGTGGAGGGTGGTGTCTGCTTGTGTGCGGTAAGGGTTGAGTGATCATGCTGATTGCTCCGCCTGCCACCCTGTGCTGTGCTGTGCCCATTTCCTTCGCCTTTCGGCACTGCAGGCAGCTCACGCGTATTCTCCCTGGCGGAGCTGCGGCGGGCCACCAAGGAGTGGCAGGCGGAGATCGGGCGGGGCGGGTATGGCAGCGTGTACAAGGCGGTGCTCAAGGACAAGACGGTGGTGGCCGTGAAGCGGCTGGACGTGGTGAGAAGGAGTGGGGCGGAATGGGGGGGAGCAAGAGGGAGTGAGACGGAGTGAGGGTGTGAGTGATAGTGAGGTCGGGCGGGGCGGGTATGGCAGCGTGTACAAGGCCGTGCTGAAAGACAAGACGGTGGTGGCTGTGAAGGGGCTGGATGTGGTGGGTGGGAGAGAGTGAGAGGGGGTGAGAGGGAGTGAGAGGGGGTGAGAGGGAGTGAGAGGGGGTGAGAGGGAGTGAGAGGGGGTGAGAGGGAGTGAGAGGGGGTGAGAGGGAGTGAGAGGGGGTGAGAGGGAGTGAGAAGTCCAGTGCCACCTGGTGAATTTCCAGAGCCTCTGTCTTCTAGCGCACCCCCAGCCATGCGCCCTCCCCATCTCAGGTGTCAGACCAGACCAGGGCGACAGGGAGTTCTTCGGGAGGTGTTGTCACTGCCACCTGGTGAATCGCCTGGTCACCTCCATCTGATTTCCCCCCCCTCCCCCTCTCAGGTGTCGGACCAGGGCGACAGGGAGTTCATTCGCGAGGTGGAGCTGCTCTCACGCGTGCACCACCGGCACCTGGTGAATCTCCTGGGCTTCTGTGCGGAGAAGGAGGAGCGTGCGCTCGTGTACGAGTACATGGGGCTGGGGTCGCTGTTCGACCACTTGCACGGTGAGAGCTTGGGCTGGGCTGAGAGGTGCTGGGGCTGGGTGCAGCAGGGTGGGATGGGATGGGGTGGGCTGGGAGCTTGGGCTGGGCTGAGAGGGTACGTGTGGGTGCAGTAGGGTGGGTGTGTGTGTGTGTGTGTGTGAAAGCATGGTGGGTGGGAGGATGGGGTTCGTGATGACTGTGTGTATGGCTGTATAAGAACGGATGGAAACATCTGGTGCATCGGACGGATTGGATGGCGAATTCCCCTCTCCTCTCCCAGGCCCGCATGCCAAAGAGACTCCCGTCTCATGGGACTCACGCATCAAGATCGCCATCCACGTGGTTCTCCTGCTGTTGCCCCTTCCTCGCCCCCCCCACCGCACTCTCCTCTCCCCACCTTTCTCCCAGGCCCGCACGCCAAGGAAACTCCCCTGTCATGGGACTCACGCATCAAGATCGCCATCCACGTGGCGCTCGGCATTGACTATCTGCACTACGGTGCCGACCCGCCTCTCATCCACCGGTGAGACCGTGGAGCAGGGGGGCAGGGGGGGCAGGGGGGCAGGGGGGCAGGAGGGCAGGGGCGCAGGGGGGCAGGGGCGCAGGGGGGCAGGGGCGCAGGGGGGGCAGGGGCGCAGGGGGGCAGGGACGCAGGGGGGCAGGGGCGCAGGGGGGGCTGGTCTTCCCACCATTCACTGGTAAGGAATTGAATGTTCCCCACCCCTTTGTGTCGCACCTCTGATTCCCATCCTTGTCCGATTCCCATCCGCGTGTCGCACCTCCGATTCCCATGCCGCTCTGGTCTTGCCAAGGAGCTGCCTGCCTAAGCCCCTCTTCCCTCTGCCATCCCCCTCATCTTTCCCCCATTTGCTTTACCCCAGCGACATCAAGTCAGGCAACATCCTGCTCTCAGAGGACGGTCTAGCCAAGGTAGCAGACCTTGGTCTGTGCAAGGAGGTGCCGGTGGACGTGACGCCAGAGGGCCAGCCTCCTCTCACCACCCCCCCCCCCCCCCTCTCTCCCTCCCCCCCCCCAGCGATATCAAATCAGGCAACATTCTCCTGTCCGAAGATGGCTTAGCAAAGGTAGCAGACTTCGGGCTGTGCAAGGAGGTGCCGGTGGATGTGACGCCGGAAGGCCAGCCGCAGCTGCTGCCGCCCACCACGGCGGTGCGGGGGTCGTTTGGGTACCTGGATCCCGAGTATGTGAGCACGTCGCTGCTCACCGACAAGAGCGACGTGTACAGCTATGGCGTCGTGCTGCTGGAATTACTCAGTGGCAAGTATGCCATTCACGAGAAGCAGCCTCTCGCATACTGGGTGAGTGGGAACACATGACGTTACGTTATTGGTTGGTCCCCACTAATAACGCCAAGGAAACCCCTCTCTCATGGGATCCTCAACCGCCTCCTCACCTCACCACGCCCGTCCCCATCTGCCTTCCCATGCGCGAGCTGCACTCCTCACAGTTCACTGTGTCCATCTATCCTCCCTAGTATGCTTGCCCTGTTGCTTCTGTCTTTGTGCCTCCAATACCTTTGTTCCTCTGCCTGTGTTGTTCCTCTGCCTGTGTTGTTCCTCTGCCTGTGCCGTTCCTCTGCCTGTGCTGTTCCTCTGCCTGTGTTGTTCCTCTGCCTGTGTTGTTCCTCTGCCTGTGCTGTTCCTCTGCCTGTGTTGTTCCTCTGCCTGTGTTGTTCCTCTGCCTGTGCTGTTCCTCTGCCTGTGCTGTTCCTCTGCCTTGTTGTTCCTCTGCCTGTTGTTCCTCTGCCTGTGCTGTTCCTCTGCCTGTGCTGTTCCTCTGCCTGTGCTGTTCCTCTGCCTGTGTTGTTCCTCTGCCTGTGTTGTTCCTCTGCCTGTGCTTGTTCCTCTGCCTGTGTTGTTCCTCTGCCTGTGTTGTTCCTCTGCCTGTGTTGTTCCTCTGCCTGTGTTGTTCCTCTGCCTGTGTTGTTCCTCTGCCTGTGCTGTTGCCTCTGCCTGTGTTGTTCCTCTGCCTGTGCTGTTCCCCTGCCTGTGCTGTTCCTCTGCCTGTGCTGTTCCTCTGCCTGTGCTGTTCCTCTGCCTGTGTTGTTCCTCTGCCTGTGCTGTTCCTCTGCCTGCGTTGTTCCTCTGCCTGTGTTGTTCCTCTGCCTGTGTGTTCCTCTGCCTGTGTTGTTCCTCTGCCTGTGCTGTTTCCTCTGCCTGTGTTGTTCCTCTGCCTGTGTTGTTCCTCTGCCTTGCTGTTCCCTGCTGTGCTGTTCCTCTGCCTGTGCTGTTCCTCTGCCTGTGCTGTTCCTCTGCCTGTGCTGTTCCTCTGCCTGTGCTGTTCCTCTGCCTGTGCTGTTCCTCTGCCTGTGCTGTTCCTCTGCCTGTGCTGTTTCCTCTGCCTGTGCTGTTCTCTGCCTGTGCTGTTCCTCTGCCTGTGCTGTCCTCTGCCTGTGCTGTTCCTCTGCCTGTGTTGTTCCTCTGCCTGTGTTGTTCCTCTGCCTGTGCTGTTCCTCTGCCTGTGCTTGTTCCTCTGCCTGTGCTGTTCCTCTGCCTGTGCTGTTCCTCTGCCTGTGCTGTTCCTCTGCATGTGCTGTTCCTCTGCCTGTGCTGTTCCTCTGCCTGTGTTGTTCCTCTGCCTGTGTTGTTCCTCTGCCTGTGCTGTTCCTCTGCCTGTGCTGTTCCTCTGCCTGTGCTGTTCCTCTGCCTGTGCTGTTCCTCTGCATGTGCTGTTCCTCTGCCTGTGCTGTTCCTCTGCCTGTGTTGTTCCTCTGCCTGTGTTGTTCCTCTGCCTGTGCTGTTCCTCTGCCTGTGTTGTTCCTCGGCCTGTGCTGTTCCTCTGCCTGTGCTGTTCCTCTGCCTGTGCTGTTCCTCTGCCTGTGCTGTTCCTCTGCCTGTGCTGTTCCTCTGCATGTGTTGTTCCTCTGCCTGTGTTGTTCCTCTGCCTGTGTTGTTCCTCGGCCTTGCTGTTCCTCTGCCTGTGCTGTTCCTCTGCCTGTGCTGTTCCTCTGCCTGTGCTGTTCCTCTGCCTGTGCTGTTCCTCTGCCCTGTGCTGTTCCTCTGCCTGTGCTGTTCCTCTCTGCCTGTGCTGTTCCCTGCATGTGTTGTTCCTCTGCCTGTGTTGTTCCTCTGCCTGTGTTGTTCCTCTGCCGGTGCTGTTCTCTGCCTGTGCTGTTCCTCTGCCTGTGTTGTTTCCTCTGCATGTGCTGTTCCTCTGCCTGTGCTGTTCCTCTGCCTGTGTTGTTCCTCTGCCTGTGCTGTTCCTCTGCCTGTGTTGTTCCTCTGCCTGTGTTGTTCCTCTGCCTGTTGTGCTGTTCCTCTGCCTGTGCTGTTCCTCTGCCTGTGTTGTTCCTCTGCCTGTGCTGTTCCTCTGCCTGTGTTGTTCCTCTGCCTGTGCTGTTCCTCTGCTGTGTTGTTCCTCTGCCTGTGTTGTTCCTCTGCCTGTGCTGTTCCTCTGCCTGTGTTGTTCCGCTGGCCGTGCCTCCCAATCCCCTCCCCCACCCTTCTCTCCCCCTTGTATGTGCCTCCCAATCCACCAGGCGGAGGAGTACCTAACAGACAGCGAGCGCCTGGGGGAGCTGCTGGGCCTGTCTGAAGCCAATAGCCTTTCCACCCGCCTGCCCATGTCTGTTGCCTTTTATTGTGCCCGTGCCACCCACCAGGCGGAGGAGTATCTGATGGACAGCGAGCGCCTGGTGGAGCTGCTGGACCCGGCGCTGGGCAGCGACTACGACCTGCATGAGGCGCAGATTCTGTGTGACATCGCCAGGAGCTGCGTGCAGGTGAGAGTAGCATGTGTACCAGTGAGAGGGTAGCGTGCTTGTTGTTCGGGTGAGAGCAGCATGTGTGTGTATAGATAGAGTCACGGTCAGTGACTACGACCTGCATAAGGCGCAGATTCTGTGTGACATTGTGAGGAGCTGCATGCAGGTGAGCAGCAGATTCCACCCTTGAATTCCACCCTTGAATTCCACCCTTGAATCCGGCACTCATTTTGATGCCACACTCAATCTCTCGGCCTCTTCCCCCTTTCCATCCTCCACCTCTCCCCCCATTCCCCCCACCCCTCCGTACCGCGCAGGACCGTTCGGCGGACCGGCCAGCCATCAGGGACGTGGCGCAGGCGCTGGTGGAGCATCTGGGGCGCGTGGTGGTGATGGCCTCCTCCACCGCCTCCTCCGAGTACAGCTATGGCTACTCCTATGATGACTATGGCTCGCAGCAGCCTTTCTTTTCGGGCAGCCTGCCCGACACCTCAGGCAGCTACACGGGGGATTCGCCAGGGAATCCGGTTGCTGGTGGTGGTGCGAATGGTGGTGCGGGTGGGAAGGCTGGGAATGGTGGGACGGGGGATGGGTTCACGTTTCGGAATTGCCAGTCACAGCCAATCATCATCGCGCGTGCGGGTGGGGGAGTGGAGGGGAGTGGGGAGGACGGGGGAGGGGAGGGGGGATGGGGGAGCGGGGAGTGTGCAGATGTCAACGGGTGTGCATGGCAACAGGCCTCCTGTGCCCATTGGGGCGCATGAGGGCACGGTGTGAGGGGCCTTTAGGGACATTCCTTCCTTCCATGTGATGTGTGCTATGGGGGGTCGATGTTTGTTACAGTAGGGTTTAGTGCAGGGAAGGTGTAGAAAGGGGCTTGGTCTGTGGTGTTGTGAAATAAGGCTGGGTGTGCCACCTGCAGGCCAAATGGTGCAATTCTGATGTGATGTGAATGTGTCAAATGTGGTTATATCCGATACAAATTGAGCAAATGGTCGAATTTGTGCAACTGCTGTAGTGTGGTTATATAAATCACCTCCTGTAGGTAGTGAACTTCCTGTAATCATATTATTCACCTCCTGCTTATCTTGCCTTGTTTCCCAAACCCTTTGGTGAAGTGAAACACCTCCTTCCTTCATTTTCCCCTCGCCAACTTTCCTCCTCCCATGGATCTCCTTGTCAAAGTACTGTACGTACACCGAAATGAGCATGACTAGCAAGAGATGGGTACATATCGTTGGAAACATATAGTTCGCGCTTCTGGTGTGTCGAGCACTACAACGAAAGCGAAGCGAACTAAAGTGAAGCAACAGCGAGTCAATCAAAGCGGTTGACCAAAAGACAACAGCAAGAGGTTGAGTGAAGGTCAAAGGTCAGCGACCTTTGACTCGCCGAAGGCAGCGTGACAGCAAGGACACATAGCTAACTCGATACTACTGAGCAGTTACCCGAGTCGTCGCTGTATCAAACCGCAACAGCAGTTACAGTTAGTTAAACCTTTCGTATTCCTTGTAATCATATTAAAGCTTGTATCTCTTTGTTATTATCAAGTTATCTTGTTCTCCACACACCGTCATCACCCGGATATACCCCAGGCCTATGTTACACCCATGCGGTTATAATCGTACTAGTGGGCTTATAGCCGGTTGCCGATTATAAGCCCACCCCAAGTTGTGTCAATCTTCGTATAAGCGCACCCAATGAATTCTGGTGTTTTTTTGTAGCGAAATCACCACTAACGCGCCTAAACGAATCGTCACAGACGTGCCTGACGAAATCCCCCCTGGCTCGCTTGGCAAAATTGCCACAGGAGGTGCACTGTGCGCGAAATCTGCAACATTTGAGCAGGTGCTGACTCGGATTCTTGACTGTACGACACATTCTCGGAACTTTTCAGCAGCGATCCTCTTTGTGTAAGCATCGATTTAAATCGCCAGGGTGAAATCTGCATTCCAGTGTTATAAAATCAAAATTCCATAAGTGTCATTTATTTAGCCCATGGGGTTATAAAATTTACCACATTATAAGCCCACCCACCATTTTTCCAGGTTTTTTTACACCCCCACCTGGGGGTATATCCGGGTGATGACGGTACTAGTGCAAGGTGGTTCAATCAGTTCACTAATACGCTTCCGCTAAAACATCACTACTCTAAGCCTCTAGTCTTGAAAAACGATCCTAAGGGCTTTTCTCAGCCCAACATGGTATGAGAGCTAGCAAGACAAAAAGACAACTGTGTTCAAGCTCCTACAACAACGGAAGGCATGGCTACGCAGAAAGAGAGAAGCTCGGCTCGTCTACTGGATCTCCAAGTAACTCCTACTCCACCACCAGCCTTTGGATTTCAGACAGAGAGAGGCACAACCCAAGTACCAGCTGCTGAGCCTACTGAAACTCCAGCCAGTCAAGCTACCGGCTTCGACCCAAGCATGATGGAGAAGTTCTTCTCCTTTCATGTCGCTCTACGAGGCAACACCAACAAGCAGAACCTGCGCAGTCAAACAACAGCGATAACAACAACAGAGTCACTCCCATGAGCCTCGACGGTTCATCATTTGCGCGCGGAAATCAGCAGCCTACCTTCGCACCGTATGAGCATCAACGCGGCTCTGTCAGCTTCATGCCGAATCGACTCTGGACGAGAAACGAAGACACTGGACGCACTTCAGTTGCAGTCACAGTTTGCGAACGTTCTGAAACTGCAAACAACGCCATTCGACGGCAAAGATTTCTATACCTGGTCCTTTGAGTTCAAGCTTATGATGGAGGGCGCCCAAATCCTTGGCTTCTTCGACGGTTCCCTGCCATATCCAACGCATGGGACATAGTACGACAAGCAGCAGTACACGTATCAGTCACTCATGGCGTACACCATCCTCCTGCAAAACTTAACGCCAAACGAGCAAAAGAACATGCGGGTCTTATCGCGGATACGGTAACTCCGCCAAGCTCGCATTCAACCACCTGAAGAATCTATACCAAGCAACCGACACCGTTAATCAAAGTCGTCTCATGGCGCAATTGACAACAATTCAAATGCAACCGGGTGAAAAGGGGATGGCATATATCAGTCGATGTCGCGGATTGCGCGATAGACTCCTTCAATGCGGCGGATCAATATCCGAAGAAGCGTTCGTCACTGTCGTCATCACATGCCTCTGTCCTCAGTGGCCCTCCACTCGAGCTATTCTCTGAGCTCACGGAAGAATCTCCGAAGCAAACCTTTGCGCTAAAATCTACGCCGAGCAACAGGACATGGACCTACACGAAGAACGTCACAAGAAGAAGGCATCAGTACAGGAGTTCGCATTTCACATTCAGTGGCGCAACAACAACAACCGACAACACGAGCACCAAGCACGAAGATACGTACCACCGTTCTGTCATCTCTGTAAAATGTCAGGACACTCTCGCATTCACTGCCCAAATCAACACCAATCAACACCACACCACGCCAGCTTCGACCTTCAAGCAGTCAGGTGGCTTCCACACAGCCACATCCTTCAACCAGGTGCCGCCTTCAACGACGACGTCCCAACCTGCACAAGGACCAAGAAATATCATAAGTTGCATAACAAGAACAGACTCTTGCATCACCGGATCACCACCGACCTACTCACCAAAAGAACTACTCGACGAAAGCACGCCTCGTCGCGAATCACTGGAACCAAATCCGACGTACACAACTATCGCACAGAGCGAACCATCCGGTCAAGACACTTGGTTCCTGGACAGCTGTTGCGGACAACATAGGTGCTCATCAAACCGCTTCGTCCAACGGGAACAACGCCTCAACTGAGATGTTGTGATCACCATCGCCAACAACCAAAACCTGTGCACATGACGACAAGGAGTAGTTCAACTTCAGTCCCGCGAGCCAACGTCGTCTTACAAATGTCGTAGGTTTTAAATGCAGAAGGACTGGGCTACAACTTACTCATCGTCAGCCAGCTCATGGCAAAAGGAATTCATCTTGAAGGCAACAATACCACTCAAGAATTCAGACTTTACATTGGAAGAGCAATCCTGAAGAACAGCGTCTTCGTCCTTGACTTCGTCCCTGATCAAGGAACCGCATACAGCGACGCGATTGTTATCTTCACCACTTGGTCGCACACACCAGATCTTGGTCGGAGGATTCTGGTACTCGCACACCATACCCGAAGCAGAACGAACAAGGGTGTTAGCGGTGATCCAAGAGACATTAGGAGAAGCATCAACATCGGCAGTAGCAGAGACAACAGCAGCAGAGACAGCAACAGCAGAGACAACAGCAGCAGAGACAACAGCAGCGAAGACATCAGCAGAAGCAGCGGCAACGGCAGCAGCAGTGGCAACGGCAACAGCACCGACAACGGGAGCAGCAGCGGCAACATCGGCAGAAGCAGAGACAAAGACACCATCATCAACACCCGCTCAGCAGCTGAATCCTGCCCCACGCAACGTTCACCGAAGCGCCAACATCACTGCCAGTTTTTACTCCAACTCCGATATGTACAGACGTTCACCTGGACATCGCGCTGACGAATCATTATGGCATCAAAGGTTAGGGCATCCTAGCAACACAACACTGAACAACACGATAAAAGCAGGGGTGCTCGATAACGACTCACTACTCCTACCCGACGGCAGAGAACTTCAACGAGTCCGCGGAAACTGCTTTACCACCCTTGAAGCCAACTTACCCCATCAGCCGTTTGTCTCTCTTCACAACCCAAGCGCGCTAGCCTATGCACCGCTGGAGAAGGTTTACAGCAACATACTGTACGCCCGCGAAAGCGGACAAGGAGCCTACAACCATGTCATCACCTTCATCGACGCCGCCACTAGATACGTCTGGCACCTCAATCTTCCGAGTCGCGACATGGCCCTCGAAGCCTTCGTCGCATGGCTTCCAGTAGGAGAAAGGGAATCAGGAGTGAAGCTGAAAAGCTTCCACTCAGACAGGGGAGGAGGATTTCAGTCACAACGGTTCAAGCAGTACATGGCGGAGAGGGGCATCAAGCGACTCATCTACG